CAATAAAACAGATTGTTTATGGTTTCTTGTTAGAATTCCCTGTTTTGTAACATATTCATTCATTTCTCAAAATAGCTTGGGTGGGGTCTTTAATCCTACTGGTTTAAGTTATGTAATTTCTTTATCTTGATATATATATATACTTGCAGTACATACGTTACAGGCATCCAGTACTCAAACAGTGTTTAAAATAAATCTAGAGGCTAACTTATTTGGGATAAATCTTGGCATTTCTCCAACATTCACTGCTTTGATTTTTTGAGATGATAGAAAGGGAGTGAAACTTCTTGTACAAGCAAAAGCATAATCAATTCTGTTTTGTTTTTAATAGTTAAATTTCGGTGATTTTTAACTCATTCACTGTGGCTGGGGTGTATATTTCTCAGTGCATTGGGAAATATATGTCCCAGCTGCAGTGAAAGGGTTAAGAACCTTTTATAAGCATGCAGTTGTGAATACTAATCTCTGTAAAATAAGACCACTCATATTTCTAATGCTGACTGAAAGCCGTACAGGAAATGCAACAAAACTTTGGTGCACGAAAATCATGACAAATCTTAATAATTGGAGAACATTTTAAAAAAAACAATAACAACGATCATTACATACCTGGTTTGATGTGTTGTTATATACTCTAATCAATAAAAAATAAATTTTAGTTTTTAATATTCAGAAAGCCAGTTTTGAGATCATAACACAAGATTTATTATCAGTTAATTTGGACAAAGAGTAAAAGAGAAGGTGATAAGGGGTAGTTTTGGGAAATTTTCAAATATAAATTGCCTTTAATTCAAGATATATATATGTTCCTGAAAAGAAGTAAAATATAACAGTGAAGATCAAATCTAATTGGTTTATTGAGAGCAAAAAGTAGAAAATTTGGTATAAGTACTGTAAGTTAATTTGGCAGATAGAATAAAAGATTTGCAAATAATGTAGGAAAGCTAGGGATTTAGTTAATAACAAAGTTATGAAATAAAAAATGACTTTCAAGAAACAGGTAACTGATGATGTTAAAACTAATTCAGTGAGTTTCTTATACTAAAGATAAACAAAATGTTAAATTGGGAATTGGGCCCTTAAACGATGCTGTTGGCAAGAATTTAGTTGAAGATGACTGTACTTTTAAATGTTCTATTTTGTTTTTATAAGTGAGAGGGTATTTGCAATATTCCTTACCCTGAGCATTCTATGAGAAATATTAGAATTGACTTGAATCGTGTAGATATTATCAAATCCTTAAATGGTAAATAAACAATTTGTGATAATTAAAAGTAGATGAAGTTTCAGGACCAGACATTCTTTTCCCCTGGGTTTTAAAGGTGGTCAGAGGTCATGCTTACAGGTCTCTTTCTCTTTCATTTTTGTTATGTTGATAGACAATGAACAGTTGCATGAGGATTGCAGAGTTGCTGAAGCTGTTCTTATTTTGAAAGGGAATGATAAGAGCTGTCTTGGAAATTATAGATCAGTCAGTCTTGATATTCTAGAGGGAAAGACATCTAGAGAGTTGGTAAAAGGAGCTTTAAAAATCGTGTAGTAAAATATAATATAAAAGAGAATCAGTATGGATTCAGTAAAGGGAAATCTTACTTTACTAATCTGTTACCTTTTTTTTTTTTTGAGAATGTTACTTGTCTGGATGATGAAATGCATGTAAATTGGTACACTGAGATTTCAAAAGATTTTTGATAAGGTAAAAAAACAGAAGATTAGGTAAGAAAATCATATTGATGAGAGTTATAAAAAGACTAATTACATTCTTATTTACATTAGTGACATTGATAAGCAAAATTAGTAATTAGTAAAGTTTGCGAATGTCATTAAACACTTGGGTATTTCTAGCTGTATTGAGGATGTTGATATACTACAGAATCACTTGTTTCAGTTGGTAAGATAAACAACTAATTATCAAGTGACCTTTTGAATCATGCGTTTAATATAGATGTGAAACCTCTCAATATTATAACTGGAGAAAAGATCTTGGCACAGTGATGGATTCTCCCAATAGTTTATTGGTAAGTTTGTGGACTTACAAAGCTGAAATCTTCAGTTTGATTCCCTGTGGTGGACACAATGCAGATAGCCTACTGTGTAACTTTGTGCTAAAATAAATAAACAAACAAAACTGGGTGATAGAAAAGTTACTCAAGCCATTGAGGCATTGCTTTGCTGCTAGTAATAAAGACAATAGAATTTAAGAATTTCTTTATGAATATATTGATTACAGTTCAAAAGAAATAATTATCCCTATAGAAGCTGCTACTTTGGCCTCTCTTGGAATACTATGTACAGTTTTAGTTCCTATATCTAATAAAGGGTTTTGACTTACTGGAAAAGTTTCAGAGAAGGACCACTTGGATTATTTGGGTGATGGAAGGATTATTTTGTGAGAATAGGTTAAGATCTTGTAACTTCTTTTCTTTTGAAGATTTTTGTGCATGCCACAAACCTTGATCAAAGCTCCTATCCCTACATGTATTAACGTGTATTGTGCCAACCTATGATGTAATCATCATTAGCTTATAGCCCTATACCGACAGTAGGGCAACACATCCTTCATGCACAGTAATCCGCTTGAGCACTTGCATTGAAACAAAAGCTCAGTCTTTTCTTCAGGAATTGTTGGGTTCTTGTGTTGCTTTTGTTCTTTAACTTTCAGTTAAACCATATTATCTCACTCTTCTAGTTTCTACTAGAGTATTGTTAATATTAACTTGACTTATTACCTGCTGCTTTACATAACAACAACAAAAATTGTGGATTTTTTTTTTACCATGAATTCACAAATCCATATTACAGTGATATTACTGCCATCAGATAGTTGGTTCTATTCTACCTTCTTCATCATGGATCCAGGTTTCTTGGTCTCCTTTTTCTGTTGCATCAGCTGAGCCTGCCTTGTCTTTCAGCAAGTTTACCAGATTTTTTCCATTGCTTCCATTTGCTTCTGATGTTTCTCTTCCATTTGAAGAATAGGTAACCCCACCTTTTTCCTCTGTTGCTTTGATTACTCAGTTATGTGACACCTCTCTAATTCTTTTTGATAAGTCTCAAACTGTATTGCTGCATCCTTCTTCTAAGCATTTCATCTCCTCCACGTTCCTGTTCATACTAAAATTTTTAATCTCAGCCTTGCACTGATCCCCAACAATTTTGTCCTTCTTGACTTTATGACTCTTTCTCTATGGCCTATGTTCATGATTCATCTACTTTCTTAGAGATTCAGTCCCTTGAATCTAATCTTACCACTTGGTGTCTCCCCGTTCTCCTACTTTGTCCCTTATTCTTCCTCAATCTGCTTGTCTTCACTTTGCTGTTATTCAGCTACTTTGCTATTTCTCTCTTTCAGAGATTTTACATTACGACCTCAACAGTTTTGCTGGGTTCATGCACTTTTTTCCTGTTTGCCACCATAGCCTTGATCTCTTCTTCTACAGTGTCTTTGGTGACTTTGTTTCTGGGATTTACTTGGTCATGATCATGATGCATTACTTTTACTTTTGGGTGTTTGCCTTCCTCATTCATATATTGAGGACTTTCATTACCACTCTTCCTTCATAATGAGGTACTTAGAGGTGTTCCTTACACTTTAGAAGCTCAAGCTGAGGGTGCTCTTCAGCAGTCTTCTTTTATTACTTTGGTTTCCTAAATATCTTGATCATGGGAGCCCCGATAGAGTTCTCACCCTCAGAAGTTATGTGGGGATGCCTCTGTCTTGTTCCTTGTTCTCTTGCTATAGATTCTAGAAAAACACATATTATCCCTTCATTTCCATCAAGAGCAGTAAATTAAACTTTCAAGACTGAATTTCAGGTATTTAAAACAGTTACGTCAATTAAGAAGTTATTTGCTGTCTTTTGCCTCAAATCAATTTTTATTTGTATTCTAATAAAAATTGTTCTAAAATTATTATTTTAAGTCTTTTTTTTTGGCTTTATTAACAGATCAAGAACCATTTTAAATATTTCTGTGGTTATAATAGTTAATCACAAATGTTTAAACATGTGTTGGGTAGACCTTTACCTTTCAAGAAATATTTCCTGCTGATCTTTTTTTTACTTGTGTGGCTGAGTGGGACTTGGTGGCATACATAGACTGTGAATCCAAAAATTTGTGGCTAACAGCTCATTGCAACTAAAATGAGCTCTGCACTCTTATTGATGAGACAAAAATTGGCATTAAGTGTTCTCAACTAGCTGCCTTTTCTCTAGCCTGTTACTAAAATTAGAGAGAGCTTTACTTACATAGCTTTGTATGAAATTCTGAAACAAACAAACCTTATTTGTGATTCTCTTTGAGAGAGTAAAATGATAGTTTGTTTAATAAGTGAAATTCTTCAAATAGCCACATCAAAGGGTTAAACTATCTTTGTTTGGTATTACTTTGTGTCAAATATTTGTCTTCTTGTAATTAATACAGTACATAAAATTTAATACTAGATTACATAATTTCTTTAAATATATCGTTTTAAATTAATAACTGGTGATTCTATCTCTACAAAAAATTACATTGTACACTTATTGTAGTATGTCTACCTGTTTAAGATACTGTTTTCTTTCATGAACTTAAAAACTAATTAACTGATTATGTATACTACATAAAAAAAAATCACAAATTTGCAACTTTATTTTGTTAGCTGGGAGATTTGTTGGTTATTTGTAGCATTATGTTGAATTAAAATAAATTTCAAACATTAGTTTGATCAATGATATTTGAAAGATTCTGCATGCTTGAACAATAAAATGAAAACTGAAAACGTTTCATACCTCAACTGAAATATATTGTAATATTTTAAGGACAACGTAGTAAGTTTTAAAAGTTTGATTTAACAAATAGTTAAAATGATTTGTTTTTTTTTACTTTTATTTATAAATTGCCTAAATTAATAAACGTACTTTTAAGCACATTATGTTGTTGTTTTATATAATTAATTTATTTATACAACATTTAAAACTTTTACAACCATGTTATAAAAACTTTTTGTTTCTGTATTATAGGTGTCATATCTTCATTTGCTAGTTACATCCACAAGATTGCAATAGGAAAAGCTGGTTTGTCTTTAGGAGCTGTAAGTAATTAATGTATTTTATAGCGCTTTTTATATCTATGATTGAATATCATTATCAGCAATCTAGATTGATGTGTCGAGGACTAAATATTTGTCTTGCTGCATATGAAGAGAACATGTATGTATATCAATATATAGCAATAGTTTTTCATCTTAAAATCTTATGTAATTAGAAGAATTAGACTTTGTGTTTTATTTTTTGACAAAGGTAAGTTAACTGAAGAAGATGACAAGATTATTCTCATAATTATGAAGTCTCCAGTAGCACATTAATATAAATAATAATAACTTTTGATCAGAGAAAGCTGTGTACTTACAGTGAAACTCAAGATCAAGCTGGCCATCAGTATAGTTAAATAAATATATTTTTTTGCCATTTCTATTTATAAAAATTAGAATGTATTAATTCATCAATTGGGTGCTCTCACTGTTAACAGTGTTTTTAGCCACAAGTTTGAGGACTTGTTACTCTAGAATCCAGGGTTTGAGTTTCTGCCAGGGACTCGTGCAGATAGCCCTTTGAGTAGCACTGGCAAAAAAATAAAAAATTAGATAGTAAAATGTTGGTAAGTACAATTTATTGATGTTTCTTGTGATATGTATTTTTAAATGAAGACAGATGAAGATTTAACCAAAAGTATTTATTACAAAATTATTAACTTGAACAACTTATCATACACTGTTACAGAATAATTAATTAATAAATCTATGGCCCGGCATGGCCAGGTGGTTAGGGCGCTCGACTCACAATCTGAGGTTTACGGGTTTGAATCATCATCCCACCAAACATGCTCGCCCTTTCAACCGTGGGAGCATTATAATGTGACAATCAATCCCACATTCATTGGTAAAAGAGTAGCCCAAGAGTTGGCAATGGTGGTGGTGACTAGTCGCCTTCTCTTTAGTCTTTCACTGCTAAATTAGGGACGACTAGCACAGATAGCCCTCATGTGGCTTAGCGCAAAATTCAAAACAAATAAATCTACTCTTTCTCAAGATTCAACATTCTGTATGTGTATGTATTATGTGTGTTCATGTGCCTGTATAGTTTTTGTAGTGCATGAGCTTGTTAAATTTTAACAACTCATGTACATTTAATTTTTTTAGCAATTGAAGATATGCCTTGTTATTCACAAAGGTTTACCTATAATTCTTGTCAGTCAGGTGCCCTGATGGGAATTCTGGCTTCTGTTTGTTTCCAATACCCAGATGCAAAGCTGGCTATAGTGTTTTTCCCATTCTTTACTTTTTCTGCAGGAATTGTAAGTATAAACAGTGACCTTGTTTTATCAAGAATATTTTATCTAAGTCCATTTTCAAATTTAGCATGTATTCTCTTTGGTCAGACTTTGACACCATATTAATGTCTACCTCTCATGCTTGAGATACTACAGAAAAATAAATTACACTTGTTTTAAAAAAAAGGTATTATTAAAAGTAGATATTCATAGTTTATATATGAAATTTGTAAATTATTATCAATAGCTATTTCAAAGAGATTAAGGGGTGATATTGTACACAATTTTGAATCTGTAGTGATCATAATATTGATGCATAATATAGTTTATATTCTAAGGAAAATAGGTAAAACTATTATCTTATTTGAAGAAGTGGTAATGAAAATGAAAGAAAAGATCCATATTGATGAGTACCACTTGTAAAAAAAAATAGTTAAAATGATATTAATTTTTTATGATGTAAGACTTTTCCTATTTAATCAATCAATGGGAATTATCTTGTTATTATGTACTCAACTTTCAAAACAATAATAACTTGGTAATACGTTTGTTTTGAATAATCTAATTGCTTATAAGAATGAATAATACAGCTTTCTAGACATGTACAGACCTTGAAATTAGGAAATAATGCTGTGGTATGTCTTGAAAATATTCTTCCACATAAAGACGCAAGAGGTGCAAGGCAAGCATTCTCACCAAGGTGAAAAATTAAAAACTTACATTTGGTTTTATAGTGATTGAATATTTTTGGTGAAATTATAAGATTAGAGGCAGCTTTGAAAGCTACAACCCAGACACCAGCTTTTGTCACATTCAGCCCTTATGATATTTAACTTCCCGAGCAAGTCAAAATAAAATAAAACTTGCATTGTTTATTGCTAGCAAAGTACACTGAAATAGTCCAGACAGTTTTGCTTTCAAACATTGATATTCATCATTCTTCAAATAGTATAAAGCTGATCTCATCTTTTCCATTTACTCACTGTAAAGTAGTGACTAAAATATGTCAAACTATTGTAAATTTAAAGTAATAATAATAAATGTCACTGTCTCTCCAGTACTAACACACCCAGTAATCCAAAAAACAAGTCATTTGTACTACACATATTTTGTTAGAGTGCATGTTGGTTGTGGTTTTGAATCACATTTTGATTAAAACAAATGTTTTAGTCATTAAACTAATAAAAGCTACTTTCCAGAGAAATATCAATCTTTTCCATAAATAGGTCTTCTGTGAAAGAAGAGCATCAATTTATAGAATCACTCAGATATCTCTAGATAAATAGGCCTACACATTCAAAACTTTAGTACAAACTTTCACAAATTGGATGTTTGATTTGGTTTGTTACAACAGTCCAATGAATTCAGTTGTGAAGTGTTAGTATTTTTAAAGATTCTAGTTATTTACCAGAAATTTTATTTTTTATATAAAATATTAATCTTTCATGTTATTTACAGGAAAAATTTAGAAATTTAGCCATCATACTTAACTTTTACATATTCTTTATGAGTTTTCAACTACATTTAGGCAATCAAGACAGTGATAGCTATAGACACAGCAGGACTTTTCCTGGGTTGGAAGTTATTTGACCATGCTGCTCATTTAGGTGGTGCTTTGTTTGGAATGTAAGTGTATCAATAAATAATAAATTGTTGTTGTTTTTCTTACAAATATACAAACCTGTTGAAATATTTATAAAGCTTACATAATGCAGAATCAAAACCCTTTTTTTTTATTAGTATGTAAGCAAAAAGACTTAACTAATATGAACCACACATAACTTATTTTCAGCATGTCAGGTTGTGGATTAAACAGTCCAAGGTTTGATGCCACTGAACACCCTCAGCATTTTCAGCTGTAGACTCATTATAAAAGTTAATCCCATTATTCAGTTCCAAGAGCCAGACAAAGTATTTATGTTGGCAGGTGCAGCTGGCTAGCTGCCTCTCTCTCTCTGGTCAGTAGCTCAAAATTAGGACCTTTGGGTTTCTGTCCTAGTTGTTTAATCCACATGTGTGTAAGATGCTGTTCAAGTTGAAAATTCCAATTCTATAATGATTACGCGTCGTGCTGTATCTCAGTAAATTTAGTTGTGTGTTTTAAAATCACTGTTAATATCATCTAAAGACTTAACTCTCCAAAGGGAGTTTAAAGGACTTGGTAAAAACAATATTAAATAAAGTTGTTTCTCAGATAACAAAACTTTAGCTTATAGTGACTTGGACACAGAGCTAAAAGTGATGTGAATTTAAATTAACAATAAAACAAAAAAAAATCTTATTCTACGTGTGACAAAATTCTAAAGTACATGAGAAAAGATTAGAAAACCAATAGGATTTACAAAAGCTGTGATGAAATCTTATAAAAGTTGTATACTTGCATGAAAAAATAAATAAGAAACACTGATCTAGAGAAACCTGAAAATTTAATCAACAGTTTTAGAAAGAAATATTAAAACACATTTAATTCAATGTGCGTGAAATTCTGTTTTGAAAGGAAAAGTACTATTCTCTCAGGCCTCCCAGTGGCACAGTGGTATGTCTGTGGACTTACAACGCTAGAATCCGGGTTTTGATACCCGTGGTGGGCAGAGCACAGATAGCCTATTGTGTAACTTTGTGCTTAATTACAGCCAAAACTGTTCTCTCAGAAGATTTTATAATGAGATTATAAGCAGATTGTAGCTTGAAATTTAAAATCAAAAATTGCAGAACTGTTAATAATTTTGGGCCATTTCTCGCTTATTAATATATATGTATAGTCAAATAACATTGATATCTGCCAGTGTACTTAAATATGTATCAATCAATGAAGTTGAGTTTGTATGTTGTCTTTAGAATTAAAGAATTCTAGTTTCTAATGTGAAGATTTAAGGCTTTTTTTTTCCTATGGTAATTCTGTTCATCATTAACTTAAGATTCTTGCTTAGTAAATTTATTTGGTAAGCACATAATCAGTGGTTAAAACTCATATCTTGTTTGTGAAATATTAATATAATAATTACATTAATCAGTCAGTGATTTGTATCACATAACTTTTAACATTTCTTTCACTACACTTATGTTATCTTGACAGAGGATATCTGTTTTATGGACAAGATGCCATTTGGGCCCATAGAGAACCTCTCATGCAATGGTGGCACACCATCAGAGAGAAAAGCAAGTGATTTTTGTGGTTTTCTAGCACACTGAAAGTTGTTGATTTGTATATTAACTTAACTTGTCCATTGATTTAGGAACAATTACAATATAACCAAACTCATTTATAATAAACATACTGGAAAGTATGCTTTAGGTCCATGAAAAACTTTGAAAGTAACGCAAAGAAAGATTGAAGTGTAGTCATTCATTTCTTTGTAGTTGATTGTATACAGAATTGTTATGTCTTGAAAGTGTGGAATTTTGATATCCAATATGATACATGTGATTAGGTTTTTTAATATTAAAAAAAAAGACTTCTTTTATAAAATTCTTCATTACAATCTTGCTGACATTAAATAATTAAAAGGTTAGAAAATATAGATGGAAATCAAAACTGCCATAAATATCAAAGAGAAATGTAAACATTAGTAACTACATGTATTAGTTTTAACTGTTAAAAATGTGTGTGTATGGTTCTTGGTGCTTTCTCACTAATTGCAACAAAGTACAAAAATATTTTAAATTGTGATTTATATGAAAAATATTTTCTTTCACAAATATTTTGAAATTTTCACTCTAGAAATTAGCAGTATTTGTTTATTGACATGCTTGTACAATATATTGCAAGCATGAATTGGAAATATCTTTTTTTTTTCTAACTTATTTTAGTTTACATTTTATCATCGGTTTAAAAAGAAATTATTGTTTTAAAAGAATATTGTAGGTCCTGAATGATATTGTTTTTCTCTAAACATTGTTTATGGATGTTAATATATATTCATAAAAGTTGATGATATTTGTTATCCTTCTATCAAAGTTCAATAAATATTCTTTTAGAAAGTACTCTAGTGAATGTGTAAATTTAGTATAAGTTAGTCCATCAGAACTCAAGTATTGTAGAAGAATTTAAGAAAACTGAAACCATTGAATAAAAAACTTTTAAGGTACACTTCTCAATGGCTGTTAAAATTATATTCAATTACCTGTGTAAATAGAAGTTTTGTTTGTACAAACTTGTTACCTTAACATAAACAGGATAACCCAATTTCTCTAGATCACTTTTTCTTCACCCTAGTTAGAAGTAAGGCAGTGAAGATCTTAATTACAAAAATATATTTAAAAAAAACAGATAAATTGTCTTAAATTTCTACGTAAGATTACATTATTAAAAAATACTAAGACACTGTGGGAAAAAAAAGTATTGGTACAGGAAATTAACCTTTGTTGAGCCAATGAAATCTGTAAACTACACAAAAGTGATTAGAGAAGAATTAAGATATAATAAAGTTCTTTTTTCTGAAATCACTACACTTACAGTTTTGGTTTGAAATTATTCTGCGCATAAGATCACTTTTCTATATGGAAACATTGTTGAGATAGCAAGTCTTTTAATTGTGGCAGCTTGTTAGGATTGTTTGGATGTAGTTTTGATTTAAGGGGATTTGTAGAAGTTATACCCATGAAGGTGGGGGGGGGGTGCATTTGAAGAGGGAGACTCACTAAGTGACTTAGCTTCACTGGAGGCAAATGTGTGCAGCTACAGTCATACTGATTCTTCCATTTCCAGGTATCATCTCTATCAACCATTAGTAAAGTTTGTGTTTTAGTTTGCTCTTAATGTTTGTTTTATGCAAAGTTAATATAATATCTTAATTTTGATCTAATTAGTCAACAACAACAATTTAGTTGTAAAATATTTTAAACCTCAAAGAATTTGGGGCCTGAAAGGCAAGCCAGGGTGCTCAGAAACATGCCCTAATTAGTGACTGATGATTGAAATAATTAAATACATAGTTTATTTAAATGTATAAGAGCTACAATTTATTGTATACTTGTTTAATTATATTTATGGAGTTCCAACTGTCAAGTAGTTTCAACTGAAGCAGTAATGCATTGTATTTCATATATTTATGAAAAAGAGAACTATAAGGAGTGTGTGTATAAAAGAGCAATATATATAACTTGAAAGAGACAGTTTAATTTCAACTGAAAACTGTAGTGGAAATGGATTTGTAATTTTCCTTGTCTTTTCACATTGTAGCAGTTGTCAGATGAATAATTTGATTTTGAATTTGTTTTCCATTTTCTTTCTCTTGTTATCTGCAAAAATAATTTGTTGTATTTTTCATAATAAAGTAATTTTCCAGAAATTTGCGTTACTTTTGTGTATTTATCGATTCTTAACTTACTAAAAAAGATGCACCATTTGTTTTTGTTTTTATACTACTGGGAAGAATTATGATGTGGTTATGTGATATGGTTTTTGCTGTCTTTTTGTGTTTCTTTTCCTTTTCACTCTGAGAATGTAAACTAATCTGTTGCAAAGGTCATACAAATTCCTCCTCACTGTCTGATTCTGAGCTTGTTGAGCTTATGTCCAATACAATATCTTTATTAGGATTCACCTTTCCAAATTTCCGACACTGGTATGAAATGGAACAACTAGAAAATTACAAGTTACTGTCATATAAGTGAATATAGAAAGAGAAGTAAATCATTTTTTGTTCTAACTTATGCAACCATGAAAAGTACTATTCAGTGAATTATTTTCACTATGGGTTCAGTATAAAGCTGAGAAATAATGAAGATATGTTTTTGTTATTTATTTTATGTTGACATGAGTGTTTAATATTATATAGCATTAATAATTTTTTTTGATAAAGTAATTATCAGGATGTGTAATTATTGAATGAACTGTACTACCCCTGTTTATATATTGTCTTGGGGTCACCAGATAATGATGCATGTCTGTGGTATGACATACTAGGTTGTTTTCTGTATCGAAATCATAAGATTGAATCTTGTTTGGAGTTAGGTGATAATGTGACCATCTACATCCAAATAACTCCCTATCTTATCCAAATAACTCCCTAGCTTAGCTAACACAACTCGTGATACATCCAAATAACTCCCTATCTTAGCTAAAACAACTCATGATACATCCAAATAACTCCCTATATTAGCTAACCAACTCGTGATACATCCAAATAACTCCCTATCTTCGCTAACCAACTCGTGATACATCCAAATAACTCCCTATCTTAGCTAACACAACTCGTGAGTATCACGAGTTGTGTTGGCTAAGATAGGGAGTTATTTGGATGTATCATGAGTTGTGTTAACTCACGTATAGCCTTAGCCTCTGCCACTAATATACATTTTAATGTCATAATCCTTCTTTTACAAGTAGTGTTGAATATATTAGTTTACGTAGTTTCATTTATGAGTACCGTAGCTAGCTTAGAATCTGAACAGCCTCAAACACTTTTTGGAATGAATAGAAACAAATATTACATTAACCAGATATCTTCACCTTCAGGCACGTAGGCTCTACTTGCTGATATTGCATGCTATAATCTTTTTGGCTTGATGTAAATGCAGTGCTCAACTGGCCAAAGTTTTTATAGCCTAAAGATGTGTGGTAGGTAAATATATCAAAATATAAGCATTTGGTTATTGTTAATTTTAAATCTACCAAATTATCATGAAATTATGGTAAGTAGTTTATCCTATATTACACTGTTCAAATTAATTCAGAGAAAATCAGTGTTTTTCTTATATTTTAACTATGACAAGGCACAACTATTACTCTTATTAAATAATGTCAATGACATTTTTGAGTCTACTTTAAGCAAAACAAGTGTAAGGGGCCTGTAATATGATTTGATATTCAAATGTTTATTATTGGAGTCCATATCCGGAATACTTATTTGGTATCAGTGGCTTTGTAGCTCAGTAAGTGATCAGAAAATGTTTGTTAATAAGATGTATGACCTAAGACATTAATGCAAGTAGTACATCAATGAGCTCTTTATCTTCCATCACAGTTTCTTCCAGTTTGCACAGGTAAATCGTGCTCCCAACTATCTTTCTAGATCAAGTCATATGTGTTCAGTCATGTTCAAGTCTAGTGAGCACGCAGTTCAGTCCATTCACTTGATACCCACTTCTCCTGGAAAGTTATTAAGCATTTCAGAACAGTGAGATGCATGATATCATCCATCAGAAGCAACACTAAAAAAACTGTATTTCTATGTCATACAGCATTTAGAGTGCCATGTCATAGCACATAAAGTCAGTGTGGCCAACAATCCTGATACGTGCCCATAACAATATGTTACCACCATCATATACATGTGTGTCTTCTTTTTTTTTTCACTTTTCTGTTAACTTGGGAATGGATTGAGTCTTAGATACTCCATATATATATATATGCATGTCTTGTATCTAGCTGCAATGTAAAGCATGATTCAAGTGTGAGTAAGGCATTCACAAACATGTCATTTGACCAATCCTGATGTTTTTGATACTACTGAAGGCAGTTTGTTTTGAGGGATGATGAATTAGGGGAGCCATGTCAGTGGTTCTCTGGCATGAATGCCAACCGTTACAAAACCTGTTTCTGACCATTTACATGTTGATTTGTCATCCAGTTGCTGCTTTGAACTGTTGATTAATTTGAGACCTGAGGTCTGCCATTTGTTTCAAGCCCATAGTGTCAGGCAAGGTTGTTAACAATGATCTACCCTGTCTATGTCCCCTGCAACCTGTATTATTGGTTTGAAAGAGAGTCCATATCATGTTATGCACACTTTGTGAGACTTGTAGCCATTCTGCAATGATTTATTGTGTTCTATCAGCTTCCATCCAACTTATTGCACTCAACAACATGGAAATGTCAGTGTCTCCTAACATGTTTTCACTATCAATTGCCCCCTCAGTGGCACAGCGGTATGTCTGCAGACTTACAATGCTAGAAACCAGGTTTTGATACCTGTGGTGGGCAGAGCACAGATAGCCCATTGTGTAGCTTTGCACTTAGCTACAAACAAACCAAACCACTATCAGTTTGGTTCTCTTTACACACACACTGCTGTTGTTTAGACTGCTGGGGACACATTGTGTTTCCTTCACTATTATTAGAAACTGAAATGTGCATGTCAAATCACATGATAGACCACTTGACATTTTTTATGCAGGAGAATGGTCTTAAGATGTCACTGACATTATTTGATAATAACATTTGTGCCTTATCATTGCAAGAATATAGAAAACTCTGGTTATTGCTTAACTGAACATTGACTATAAACCAAATTTACTAAATATACCTACACGAAATTTATAAGTCTGTTTTACACAAAAAATTAGATGTGTTAAAAACTGACTAATTTTATATGTTGGAGTGCAAGGTGATGTTCGTGTGAAGAATAAAATACTTTTGTCCATCGTACAGTTTGCATAACCTCTGAAATCCATATGTAAGTTTGTTTTCAGTATCCCTGTACATTGCATCTGTTATTTACTGTTTTCTTTCACAAACTGTTTCTAAATCAGTAATGTTGGGTGAAAAGAACAGTTAATAATGCTACCATCAAATACATAATACCGTGTTGAATGGTGCTCTGTAAAAGGTCATGGCATGCACACTTTGACCCTCAGCCATGCACATTGAGTTTATTTTGAACAGTATGATTATTTTTTATTATCTGATAATTCAACAAAGTTGTAGAAAAATGTAAGAGACTTCAACATAATGACAATAAATAAAAAGAGACAGATTGGGATGAATAATCTCCTTCCACTTTTATTCTTGTAGATCTTTCTTTTCTATTACCTGAACTTGTTATGTGGGACTTCTGATCACTCTTTTCACATTTAAAGTAACAGATGTGACATTTTTGTTGACCGTAATGATGTCAATCTCCACATGTTTGTTTTTTATGTAACTGGTATGTCTTGGTGTTCAGTTGTTGTTAACAGTCCTAAGCATAAGCCTTTTGTTTCAACATCCTACATTTTAAGTACTGGGTGACTCATTGGGAAACTATACAGTGAATATGATGGATTCTGGCTTAATTAAGTGATTTTCTAAGGCAATATTCTCAGTCTGTGTCCATGGTATCTCTTCAGGTGTTCTGTGGAAAGTTTACATAATTACAAAAAAGAAGTGGCAACATAATTTATAGATCTCTTTGTAGTCTCCTGAGATTTCAAAAAATCAGGTGGTCTGCAAACAATTAATTTTGAAAACCACTGTTTTAAGGCAAGTGGTGAGTTAATATAAATAACTTCACCATTTTGAGCAGATGACTATTAGCAACCATCATAAATTCCAGCTTAGAAGTAAATAAAGTTTTCAACATAGTGCTTCTGTCTTCTTTTAGTCATCTTGAAATGTATTGATCGCATACCATAGAAACAGATGTTACTAAGGGTATACCTGAATAAGATGATTGATTAAAGCATTACATACTCTTAGGAATCTATATTATGTTTTCTCTTTCTGTATTCAACTTGTATATAATTTTTT